TCAAGCTATACATTATATGCCTTATGTGATGCATGAGCTTAGTCTTCTTAAGTAATTTACCAACAATTTCTGTCTAATACACATCTGTCCAGTGTGCCAGGGAGGATCCTGTTGCAGCACAGATACCACTGCTGAGGAGGGAACAGTCTTTTAAATTGCCATACTGGAATGAGATTTTTCTTTCTGCCTGCACACTACACACATTGCAACCTCAGAATAATTTAAGTAGAAGTGTCTGCTGGGACTTGTGTCTGGTGAATGTAACTCTTCTTGTAGAATTATTACCCTGTTGTACAGGGCATAAAATTCAACACTTCTGTGCTGTTCTTTATTGGTACCTCAGCTGCCAGCTGAGAGTGGCTTAACTTGCCTTCTTCCTCCTGAGCTCCCCATGGCTGTGGAGGAAAGCAGTGACCCTGGAGAGCAGAGCCCCGTTTCCATTCTGCAGAGGCCCAGGAAACAAGATGTCATACTTCACTATGCTGAGGGCAACCTGTAAAAAGAAACAGAATTTGCATATTTCATAGACTCATAGAATGATTTGGGTTAAAAGGGACCATGAAGATCACCTTGTTCCACCCCCTGCCATGGGCAGGGACACCTTCCACTAGCCCAGGTTGCTCCAAGTCCCGTCCAACCTGGCCTTGGACACTTCCAGGGATGGAGCAGCCACAGCTTCTCTGGGCAACCTGGGCCAGGGCCTCACCACCCTCATCATAAAAAATTTCTTCTTTAGATCTTTGAGGTAGATCTTTCCTTGTATCTTCCTTATGTCTTTGTGACCCTTTTGACAGACCTCCAGCTTTCAGGATAGAATGTCTGTATGCCAGCTTCCTTCAGCCTAAGCCTGCATTTGCACAGGGTTAAGGATTAAGCTTTATGTCACAATTTTTTTCCATGTGAAAAAAATTGCTGTTGTAGGTTAGATTTTACTTTATCATTTTTTATGTTTTCCAGTATACAGTCAGAAATATTTAAAAATCATTTTCTTCTCCTGTTCCGGCAGTGGATAAAACTTTTCCCCACTATTGCAGGGCTACTACCTGTGTCACTGTGATAGATATTTTTATGTTCTCAGCCCAAGAGAATGAAAATAAAAATTGTAATTAGCAGAAATCTTGAAAATAAACCAAACCCTAACAAGCCAGTAGCCCAACATTTAAAAAGTTACAGTATTGATGAATACTTTCCACAGGCATCCTCTGGAATCCTTACGGTGTCACCATTTTTTATTATGTATTAAATCCCAGTAACTGTTACATTATGGTATTTCTGACCTTCAGTAAACTTTGCTTTCTCTTGGCAGATTTGCAGCTTGATGCGAGGTGGAATAGCAGAGAGGGGAGGGGTCAGGGTAGGACATCGTATTATCGAGATCAATGGCCAAAGCGTCGTTGCTACAGCTCATGAGAAGATTGTACAAGCATTGTCTAATTCAGTAGGAGAGGTAAGGAAGCAAGTATTTTATCAAGGAATTAAAAGAGTTGGAAAAAATGTATGTTTCAGTTGAAAAGAATGTCTTAACATAGCATTAAAGCCACCACCTCAGTAAACTGGAGTTAGGCCCTAATGAGAAACAATAAACAAAACATTTTTTGAACAATTAGATGCACAGTCACTGCACTTTTTTCACTCATTTTCAAAAGCTCCTGGCATAATTCTGTACTTTCAACCTACTGTTTGAATTAAACCAGTTGATTAAAAGAATAAAACACTCAAGCATGTTGGCTATGAAATGTCTTTTGGCTTATCACTACAGTATCCGCCATAGAAATAAATGAATATTCAAAGGGCTGAGAGATGTAAATTGATAGACATTTTAATAATTTATTTTCCAAACTTTGGGAATAAGCTAAGACACCTCTTTCCAGAGAAAGAGTTCTCTTTTCTAGAGAAATCAGCAACAAATGAGGAAGATCCTCCAGTTTATCAAAATCCCTTCTGAATTTAGTGGTAGTCTCATACACAACCCTGGCCAGATCTCCCACTAGTTCCTTTGCCAAAAATTAAAGCAAGCTGGTTTCCTTGTGGAAAGTGATAGTTGACAGATAATCCAGAGAACGTGCCCGTTGCCAGGAGCAAAGCCACACCTTTCAGCAGCCCCACCGTGCCTTCATGTCCCTCTGTGCTGGGTAATTCCTCACTAAACAGGAGAGGACAGCATGGAACTTCTTTACAGCATGAAGAGAACAAGATGTCAAGGCAGCACGTGGCTGGTGAGGGTCCATATTATCAGTAAAGTTTCCTTTCCTTCCTCTTGTGTTGTCTGATAGGTACTCACAGCCGTTCGTACAGTTCTGACAGAACCCTCGTTAACTGAGCCTTTAGCCTTCCCATCTGTAAAATCCCTCTGGCACTGAGCACAGCACTCCTTGTAGAAAGAACTGAAGTACAGGAGCCACAAGAGAACCCGCTCCACCAAACTCTTGCCTGGCATTTAAACATCAGGTGGTAAAATCCAAGTGTTTTGTTCAGAGGGTCATAATTCAGTTAGAAGAAAATACATAGGAAATGACATTCCCACAGGGAAGGAAGGTAGAATAAAAAAATCTTAAGTTCAGTTAATACCAGAACAGCAGAATGAATTTTCAGAGGTTCGTGTACTGCTTCTTTTTTAAGGGCTGTAATCGGAGTAGAGTGTAACAACAGAAAGTGTTTAGGTGTCATACAATGTTGCATCCTGTCATTGTCATCAATAAATAATAAAAGTACTCCCACAAAAAATCAAAGACAGTGAACCAACATCTTGAAATCGGAGAACTTTGAACTAGAAACTCTGGTAACACATCTGTAGAAACCAGGACAAAAAATGCACTTAGAGCACAAGGAGAGAGATGGATTATTTTAAACTAGTACCAACTGTGTTAATTTATGTGTAATTAATTGACAGATACACATGAAGACTATGCCAGCAGCCATGTTCAGGCTTCTAACTGGGCAGGAGACCCCCCTGTACATTTAGCATTTTCCATCCAAGCTGAAGCTGTCATAGCCGAAGAGAATTTTGTATTTTGTATGAATGAAAGGCTTGGAAGCTGACCCGAGGACTCCAGAACAAGGAACAGACAGGTGTCTCTGCTTTTCTCTCCTTCCTTTCTATTTCTTTGACAAAAAGTGTTGAGAAGGATGGTCAAGGACAATAATCACTGACAAAAATCTTTGTAAACATTTAAGTATTTTGCAACATCTTCTAAACCCTTTTCTCATAGAAGTTAAAACATATTTATTTGTAACCTTTATGTGGAGTGATGTATGTCTGTCTTGTTTGATAACACAGTGAATGTGAATATTTGATGAATGAGACTGCAGGAAATGGCAAAGAGAAGCAATTAGAGAAAGTTCTGGCTGCCTCAAGTTAAAAAAAATCCCAGTCCCATAAAGTGGTCCAATACTGATGACTTTGCATAATTTTAAAACTGGTGCTGAATAGGTGGTATTTCAGTGGGAAGGAATGTGTGCAGTTAAAACTTTTAGATTCTAATGTAAAGAAAACCACTGTAGTACTTGGTATTGTTATGACAAGTGTAACCTGTTTGGCAAGGTGTGAACATAAACATGTAACAAGTGTTTCATATGCTAAATAAAGAATAATTGCCACAAGATTAAAATCAAAATATTTATTTAGATACATATTTATTTTTAATGCTTGTGATTTTTATGATTTAACAGAGTTATTTCATGGATAACTTATTGCACAGGTTGTGTACTGTATGTGTTGGGCTGGGGTTTTTTTCCTTTAATTTTTGCATATTACTTTTTTGTTCATATTAGCTCAAAATGGGAAAGCCATGCTTACCTGTTTCTGTCTTTTATAAAGCATTCTTATTCCTAAGGCAATGTGTTCTGAATGTAAATTGTTTTGACAAATAACCTAGCACCATCAGCAGTATTAGAATGTGTGTAGATAACAAACCTAGTAGTAAAGTTGTATTCCTTATGAGATAAATGTTAATTGGTGTAACTTTGTCTAATACTTTTTCTTTCGGCCAAGGCCTTGAAGAAAATACACTGTGACTTAAGAAGCCTTACCATGCAGTAACTAAAGAGCTTTAGATGACTGTATTTCAAGGAGTAGTGTGTTGCATGCAACTGACCTTAGGAAAGAATTAACCTATCACTAATAAATCTGAACTAAGAAAGGAAGCTTGCTTATTTTGTTTGTTTTATAAGTTTACATAGTAAAAAAATCCAAGTGGAAGATCATTTAATTCTTCATCTAAGTGCAGTTGCAAAGGTCACAGATTAATTTTTAAAAGGGAATTAATCTCTTGAATTAGGAATTTGTATATCATTATTATCTTGAGAGTAGATGCTTTCAATTAGCAAACCTTGTTGCCACTGGATGTCACTGTAACTTCACATCAATATAGGAGCATGCTATCATTAAAATACATTAAAATGGATGATTCTGCAAGACTTAAACTACCCATCTTCAGCTACATTCCTTTGTGACCTTTTCACAGGGTGTCTGCCCAGCTCAGAGTGACACAAATGAAACCAGTATATGATTAAACCTCAAATGGAAAGTAACGCTCCTGCCAAGCACTGCTGCAAAACAATTAACCCCCTGAAACACCAACCTGGGGTAGGTTCTTTATGAGAACCTTTTGTTTAAGGCCTTTCCAATTTCCTCTGAGAGAGCCAGGATGAAGCTTGCACTGGAAGACGTTGCGGGCAGACCTGTGTTTATGCTGGTAATCAAATTAGTGTTGATGATATTTACTTTCTGATTTTTTTTTAAGATCAATGTTAAATAAATCATAAACACAGCAGAACCAAAAGGACATGTTTTAGTAATAAAATTGTCAAAACTACTAATTGGAGTAAAAATTCTTTTTGAAAAAACGTTCAAGGCTCTGCTAGATAAAAATTCATCTAAGTTGCTATTGGTGTTGGTAAAAAGTTTGCGAAAGGTGCTTTTTGGAAATGCAGAATTTCAAAGTCTTCTTCCCTAATGCATCTTTTGGCCACACACTGCAGAGTAATTAAACCTCATTTCTCAGTACCAGATGCTACTGCTGGAATAAACTCATGGGCATTCAGAACAAAGCAAAAATAAACCACACTGCAGCCAGTCCTGTAGGTTAAGAGGGCAACATTGGGGGGGGGAGGAGTTCTAATCTGACAGATCAGTTAGTCTGGAATGAAGGACACTGGGAAAATGGATTAGAAGCAGCACTGTTATGTGTGTGTGGATCCCCTTTACATTTCTATCCAAATCAGTTGTTGAAAAAGCAAAGTCCAGAAATACTTTTTATTAAAACACTGACAATAGTTAAAACACTTTGAGGTACATTAAATAAATACAACTTTAAAGTTGTACAGTCAGTCTCTGGTGGGTTTCCAATGGTTTTCAAGAAATGCTGGGCAGCATCAGTAGCATTTCTGTAAGTACAGTGACATAAATGCATTTCCAGTTGGGAAAACACTTGTTATGACTTAACTAATAAATCAATTAAAATTTTGCAAAAATCAAGGCTGAAATTTACATTCAGAAAAACAGTTGTTCTCATCCTGCTGTTGGAAAGAAGTGGAATTCCAAGGAAAGACACTTTTTCCTTTTTAAGTCGTCCACTATTTGTATTTCTCCCAGTCCTGGTTTCTTCCACAGTTCTCTCTGCTGGAATCACATACCTGTGAATGTTATCAAAGGATGGTCTCCCGGCAAACTCCAATTAAACTGTGGGGCCTGTCCCGCTCTAAACTTCGGGAGATGTGAGACCTACGTGAGAAGGCAACTGGCGAGCTCAGAGCACCACAGCTCTGCAGGTGAAGATCTTCCCGAAGGTGCTTTCTGCAGGTTTTCACATTCTGCTGGGAACTCGTAATGACCTGTTTGAAAGGGCAGGAGTGGAGAAGGAACAAATGGGGGAAACAGGGTAAGAAAGGTTTTCATTTAAAAGGTTCAGTCTCTGAATAATATTTCATTTAAGCTATCCAATGATGGAAGTCTTCCAGAGGAGATGGGGGTTTGTGCAGCCCTCCAGAGCCCCTTCCACTTCTGTCCTTCCACCTGCTCAGGGCTAAGGGCTGGAAGGCACAGCCAGCCTTCTGCCTGCACTGCAGGGTGCTGTCCACACAGGTGCAAACAAGTATTTCCAAGGAAATCTGCGGAAAAGGTAGCAGCGCTCTCTTGTAATTGGAAAATAGAAGTTTAGAGCAAATTATGCTGTTTCTTTTAGGAGAGAGATACTTCACTAGCTTTGTGAGGGTAATAGACAACTGAAACCTTAATAATAATAATGGCCAGTCTTCGTGAACGAAGATTTGGGAAAGGTCATTAACCCTTCGAGCCTGCGCAGTGGATTTTTTAGGTGAGACCCAGCGTGCGCTGAACTGAGCCCACCCTTTAATCCTGAGGTTCATCTGCCGGGGCCGAGCAAGCTTGGACAGTGGCAGTGAGGGTCTCAGGACGTAGGTTTGTTTAGAGTGACCTTCTCTTAGATGGATTGCCTTACAGGGCTGACGAGCTCCATCTGCCCGGGGGGGCTGGGAATCGAACCCGGGCCGCGGTGGTGAGAGTGCTGCACCCTAACCACTAGAAACCTTGCAAGCCTGGTAAACAAGCATTTTAGTTTTAATAGAATTGTTAAGCTACCTCACAATTCTGAATTACACAACTCTTTCACCAAAAATTTTGTGACTTCTTAAGTAGATTGCTGGGATGCCCTGGGCCTTCACGAATTGATAATGTTTTTTGTCTGAAAAATATAACTACTAAAATGATTTCTTTAATGGGAAAAAAGGTATGTCTCCCTGGATCTAAGAAATCCATACAGGATAAAAATTGGGCTACTGATTTCTAGTTCTGGCTCTGTGATCTACATAAGCACTCAAAGTGTGAGCAACTGGGTTTTTTCATGTAAAGAAAATTGTTTTCAGCTTTCTAACCTTGGGGATTTAATGGGCTATGCATTTTGTAAAGCAATAAAATCATTACAGTTTCCCCCCATACTGCCAGCACTAAGGACATCATGACAGTGCAGCTTTTGTGTCCGTGTGACTGCACAGGCACTGATCCAGTGCTGCATCTGTGTTCTGCTTCACAGGGAGCAAAAGCAGTCTTGCAGCAAGCTTTAAGCGCTGCATGGTTCCTGCTGCACATCAAACTCTCTCGTGCTTTTCAAGTGTTACCACATCCTAGTTCAACACTTAGACAATTTCCCTCATTTCGGGATCAGCTGACTAATATCCCAGAAATTACAATGTCTCAGAAGGGAGAGAAACAGTCCCCCGGGGTGTATCCTTAGTCATCTGTCAAGCTCTGGAAACTCTACAGGCATCCTGCTAAGAGAATTCTGCTTTTCCAATTGGACAAGGTAAAAGAACGTAATTTCTGTCATTCTGGTAACAATACTTGCAAGAGGTGATTCACCACCTTTCTTCCTGCAAAAGATGATGTATTATTAAATATGCATGAGATATTAAAAGGTGCTTCCACTAATTCCCTCAGTTTATAGGATTCCTTCCACACCTTATGTCCGTTTTATTGTCACTCAGGGTGAGTAGCAGCATTATTCTTTCATTTGGAAAAGCACAATTTCTCAATTCTTTTTCTTAAAACCAGCAAGGACCATTATAATTCTTCTGGTCTGCACTGTTTTTTGAGATGGATGTGGCCCTGCTTGGATACCTACCCATTCTTTTCAGCCAGTAGCTTATGCTGCACAAATACATTTGCCTCAAAAAACAACAGATCCAAGTCAGTTCTGGCTATCTCCGTATATACACATCCCAAATTGATGTATGGAACAGTCACAGGTCCAGAAAGACATTGGAGATAGGAGAGGATGATTATCAACATGTAAATCAGTTCCCTACAGATCTCCTAGGTTCTTACTAGGCCAAGCTGAGTGATTTTAAATGCATTTATAATGATTCACTGTAAAATGCACTGCTGCCCAGTAAATATAAACTATTCCTTACTATGAAAATATACCATGTTACTATAAAAGAACTTCTGTAGCAATTGTCTGAAGTAGTTAAAATGGCAGAAACATTTAAATAAGGCTTGTCTATTGAAGTTGAACACATCACAGGTGGCCTACCTGGTCTATAATATTGGCACTGAAGATGGCTTCTTCCATGTGTCTCTCATCAGATTTAATTACTGAGCGGATGCTGTTCACTACGTGACGTACTTCTGGAGGGAGATTACAGTTTGAATGTTCCAAAAATTTTGCCACTAAAATTTTTGTGTCTTTATAGGCCTTAAGGTCCACTAAGGAGTGTGGCCGCTCTTTTGAGACTGTGTGAAAAGCCTTTGGCTTTAGGTGCAGGTCAATTTTCCGTGTATCCCTCTGTTTTCCAGTTGATAGGAAACTGCTCAAAGAATGCTGACAGGCAGAGGCAGCCATATGAGAACCAGAAACAGCAACTAAAAAAGGGGGGGAAGAATATCTTTAAAGTAATAGTTTAAAAAAAGAAAAAGAAAAAAAAGAAAAAAGGCAAAACAAATATTGTCACAAAGTTTTTATTTTGTCATAAAATGTCTGCTTTGTTTGAAGAGTAGCAAAAACATGCAATCAAGGAAACACTGCAAAATGGGTAAGTTTAACCAGGAGTCAAGACTAAGACTTTCCCATGACCAAGGAGGACTGCCTTGAGAATGAGTGGGTGCGTAGTAAAGCATTTCATAAATCACAGATGTTTTTGTTACCTCTACCTTCAGAGAATTCAGTTGATATTACTGATAAGGAGAAACATGACCTACTCTATTACATATGTAATTTGTAAAGTTTTAGGCCCAGCTCCCCCCTTCCCCAAATAAGTCTAACATTCTGCTTGTTTCTAGGCCTCGAAAATTATATGCAGTGAATAACAGAAGAGACATTAGTAAGAAACATAGGGAAAGCAAAAATACTAATCTAAAAGAGAGCAGCATTTATTTTCATTCAAGGCTCGTTCCATCAGCAATGTACACCATATATGTATGCTGTTAGCTAAGTGGCTTTTCTGCCCCAGATTTTCTAAAGCTCATTTCTCTATCACAAGCTTTTAATTATTGTTAAAAGAAAAGAAGCAAATATCCTGCTTTAGAAAACTGATCCTCACCTGTTTCTACTGTAGCTGGAGATAATCCTGCATCTTGACACTGGCTGCATACAGGAGTCCAGGCACAATTATCACCTTTAACCAAAGAGAGAGAGACAGAAGGAGCAAAGTCAACCTGTGCTGTCCTCTGCCCAAAACAAGTTAAAATACACTGGAATCTTTTACTATCTCCTTTACAGAATGAAACTGCTCAGAGGAAATACTGCTTTCAATATTCATAAAGAGAAGCTACTACACACAGAAATGTCCTATGAGCTGTTAAATAGATACAAATAGGAAGATAGAGCTCCTGCTTGATGGCTTCCTCTGTAATCCTAAATATTTCAGGCCTAAGCACTGAAGCTCTGGAAGGTTCTCTACTAGGGGCAATCCTCAGATTTTTCTATACTTCCTTGGCAGACAGAGTTTATACTGGAAAATAGGAAAACCGAGAAAGATGGATCCCTCTTATTTCTACAAAACCAGTCTTTTATTCAGTATTTCTACCTCCTTTTTTATATTCTCATTCTTTGCAAGATGAATGTCATACACCCCTGATTAGATTAATGGGTAGGTGACCACTGTGGTACCTGATGAGCCAGTCAATACCAGGGGGTTATGGAGCATCTGCAAACAGCTTTGGACACAGTTGCAAGGAGAGTTTCTGGGATGCCAACACAAGGATCAACACCTATGAGATCACCCTGTATTGTAATTATCACTGTAGTCTTTTCCATTTCTGACAGTCAAGATGGAACAAGCTTTCAGTTTTATGCTATGGCTGTTTACATCTGCTTCCAAGACTGAAAACTCTATTGAACTTCCAGGTGGATTAGAAGAGGTTTTCTTCCATATCTCCAGGGACAGTTTATAATGAAAAGCCCATATAATCCTCTCTGGTAGAGTGAATAATTAAATGAAGGAAACAGATGTTAAGGTGCTACAAACATAGAAAATCTGTAAGAAATTAGGAGAGACAGCTTCTACTCTGTCTTTAATTTGCTCTATTATGCTGAAGTACTGCTGCACATGAATCATAGCATGCTTATTAAGAGAGACACTTCAGAGGTTCTGTCTTCCCATCCATTACTATACTGCTTAATGTACTTACAGCGAGTCAAAACTACACCACTAGACATTACCCTGAATTATGTGGAACACAAACGCTACAGTAATCATTCAGACACTCAACTGATACAGCCACACAGTCTAAGATAGGTGATTATAAATTAAATTTATTGTAGCAAACATCTGTGTTTGTTAGGTTAGGTTTGTTAACCTCTGTGTTAGAGGTTGATTTTGTCTTACTTTGCTATGATAAACTTTACAGGGAAAGGACAGAAAAAACATGCAAACTATTAACTTTTAAATAATTTTTTTAAGAGGGAACTATGTCTGACAGAGATTGTATGTGAACCCACCATACTTGTGTTGTCCAGGGACTATACAGGGACTATAAAGGCACCTATTAAATTAAACTTTCACTTATAATTTCTCCACTAGAAATGACAGATATTTTAAAAAATAATCAAGCTCACATTAAAGTATTAATGGGAGAATTATTTGACTGTACATACCACAAAGACCCCATCACATCAAGATGTGCTTGAAGCACATGAATTGTGTTTTATTGACCAAAAAGCTCACAGTTTTATGCCAGCACTAAAATGTCCAGATTATTTATTTCTTAGATCTCATTGCTGTTGTGTCGCACATGTGCCACATCTGCATGTCAAATAATTTATGTTCCAAACTATGGGCAGTGCAATCACAGCAACGTGCAAAACCCATTTAACAAAAGTCTACACAGTAAATATCAAGGTTGTGCTTCTGAATCTCTTCACATTGGCTTGTATGTGGAGGTGAGTCAGAAGATAAATTAACAATTTTTTCTTAAAGTAGAAAGACTAGGTCTTAAGATAAACCCAAACCACAAGTATAATCTGCCCACTGTTTTTTGCCTTTTGTGAACATGGCTGAAGCTCCTCCAGCCTCAGTTCTCCAAAATCCACAGTCCCTTACATGAGTCATTAGTATTAACAATCTGTAGGTTCCAGCTCTGTCTTTCATAGAGTCAGTCTGTTTGACCAGTTCTTCTACTCCAGGACAATTTTAAAAGAAAAGTGTATGTTACTGAAAAAAACCTGAAAACCCTTTTTCTTCTGGGTTGATGGAGGGAGCTCAGTGGTTCTCTTTAACTTTTGCCTATTGGTCAACTCCGTGGATATATTTTAAAATTCTACAGTGAGTAGAACCAATAGCCAGTTGTGAAAAATCTGGATCAAATGCCTTTTTAAAGTTACAAGGACTGTGAAGAACTTCAGCTGTTTGTCACAGCTTAGGAAAAATATGCTTCACGGCTGCTACAAACACAGCCAGTAATGATATTAGAATAGGGCTGCTTCTAATCTGTTATGATTTCCAAATAAAGTTCAATAAAAGGAAGAGGAAGCAATGTGAAGTTGTAAAAATCTTCACAGACTAAAGTTTTGCAAACTGTAGTTTGCCAAACATATACATGAAAGAAATATGCATATCTAGACTCAACTGCTTCTCTTAAGGATTTCATTTTAAAGAGTCTTTTGTGGGCAGCGAAAGAACAGCAAATGAGGTCAGCACAGTCACTTCTTGACTCCCCCTCCCTCGTATATACCTATTTCTAGGACCTTCTCTGCCTCTGTTACAATTTTTGGTGAGCCCAGTTACATCTCAGTGATGTTCAACTGGTGTCCCCCCATGCCACTTCTCCAGAAAAGATGATGAATGTATTTAGGATACATTGAAAAAGAAGGCAGAGTATCTGTTGTACCAGGGGTCCCAGCAGGCAGCAAGAACACGTGGATAGGGTTGCCTACAGCAACCTCTCAAACACTCCTCACCCAGCACGGAGCACAATACTGGAAAGCTGCAGAGCCTCATCCAGAAGAGAAAGGGCTGTTCTTGTCTTTGGCACAGTAGAAAGGATTCAGAAATTCTTATTTAATGTCTGCACAGCAGTTTCATAGCACATACATCCTAGCAGAATGTCATAAAATAAATGCAGACTTCTAGATTAAAGATTTGCTTTTCCTGGCCCAGATTTGGGGGCTAGATTTCTAAAGGTAAACCACAATCAACTGTTGAGCTAAGTATGAGGGGTCTGAAATCTACAGAGTAATGATGCAAGGAGTGTAACAGAACCAACATGTCATCCTAAAGGAAACTAGTTATTTCAACATTTTGTCTACTTTTGCTGAGCTAGTCACATGATTCTTCCTGTAGATCCCTTAGAAAGCCCAGGGAACAGATCTTGTAACAGCATAATCTCTGACATCTTACAAAGCTTTAAAATCTTTACTTTCAAGCCACTTCTCCAGGTTACCCTTCTGAACCTCTCTGAACAGGTTACATCCTTTTGTAAAACCTGCTCTTTCCAAATGGTTTAGACAGTTCTACATTCCTGCTATTATTCTCTACTAAATCAACCCTTTCTTTTTCACTAACAAGCAGATTTTTTTTTATGAAAATACACCGTCCAGTCAGCATCTACTCTTGTCTTCCCTACTTGTCTAAAAGGAGATTTATAGCACAAGATACTTATCCTCCACAGCCAAAAGCTTTCCTTTTCATTTATCATCTTGTCATGTGCCTCATTTTCATTTCTTTGTCCTTTAAAATTTTCCACCCTACACTCCAACTTGCCACTGGTCACACTGACTGCCCTTGACATGCCCCAATACTCTCAATGTCAGTGTCACCTTTGGGAAATACAACCTGCTGTATTACACGTGTGACAGCTCAGGTAACAGCTTCCTAAAGAGACACCAGCTACCATTCAACTTCTTAGTTCAGTCTCTCAATGTAACAGTAATTGAGAGGTGGAGACAGCTACCCAACACATGGTTTTCTGAGCATTACAGAAAGAACGGGGAAATTTAGAAAAGCCAAAATTAATTTCACTCTGTCAATTTTTGCATTTCCATTCTTAAAAATTTTCATATTTAGAAAATATGCATGGAACTAAAGCCTTCACACATAAGTCAGTCCTCATTGGAACGTTGTATATAATTCCCAGCAGCACCATTTGCTGCATAAGTCACACACCACTCATTTGTTCCATGTTTGCAGCCCTGTGGTTCTACACCTACCTTCTGTCACAAACGACCATGACACGGGGGCACTGTTTGATCTGACTATGTTTGAAATTGGGTGTTTTCTAATGTGCTGCCGCACAGCAGTCTCATGGCCACTTGTGTATGATGAAGTATTTGCAGGCCCAAAACAGGGAGAGGTCTGCAAAGGGACAGGCTGGCTGAAGTCCACACAGCAGGTTTTCTTTTGCTTCAAAGATGCCGTGGCATTGCTCTCTTGAGCAGAACTCTGCAGTTCTCTTTCTGAGGGGCTGTAATTCCCTGAGGAACAGTCCAAGGGTCTGCCATGGGCACAGTTCTTTTCCTGTCTGTGAGCCCTGTCTGTGGAGGCTCGGTTGTGGGAACTGTCATCCTCAGGAAAACCCTCTGAGCGAGTTCTGTGGAACCTGCAGTGAGTGTGGTAATCCAGGGGGCTGCAGCTCTGGTCTGCAGCCCCTTTGGGGGTTATACAGTAGGGAGAAAGATCTGCAGAGTGGAGAGATCCTTGAACTTCCAGCGAACAAAGATCTTCAGAGGAGTAGCTGTGGTCGGGGATATCAACAGCCTCAGAGACCAACAGAGAGGTGCTCTCAACAGAAACTGCAAAACAAGAGGTTCAGAGACTAATAAAAACTTCTTGCCTTCCTCCCACTCCTCTCCTGCCCCATTTTCAATGTACTGATTTAAATTCAGTAATCAGCAGGTACATCAATAATTATTCAAAAACTCTCAGATGACAGAATGCCAAAGCAAAAAACACTGAAGTAATTTCCTTCTTTCTCATGTCCTTCAGCAAAGACAATTTTGTGCTGTCCTCCAGTATAAGCATGTTTGAGCACCTGGTATGAAAGTATTATCTGCAACTACATCTGGACAGGAGCAGCTCTTTCACTACTGGTTTCTCTGGTAAACAAAGAGAGATTGCCTGTGGCAGGGAAAGTAAAACTTTATACAAATGCTGAGAAAACATGGCTCTGATCACTTTTAAACCTATCGCTCCTGTCAGTGTTAGCTCTGCACCTAACACTTTATTCAATCAACCAACATTTCCTTGAAGCATAAAGGTCTTTACAAATAAGCATTCACCATCATAGAACATCTCTGGCACACAACATTTGTGACACATGATTCAGGTACAAGCTAAATATTCTACATAAGCTCACATCATCTTTGAACCCTTTGTATTAAAAACTGAGCTTGTTGTCATTTTCTTTGTCGTGTCTACAAATACCCTATGAAAATAAATATTTGGTTCCGCATTATTCCCAAAGTCATGAGAAAAATAAAGAAGATAAAACTAGATAACCCAGTCTCCAAGTTCCAATAGTGTAGACAACATTTCCCATATCAGACTGGAATTCCTGAAAGTCCTGTATCTAAAATCAAAATATTTACAAAATAAAAATCACCTAATTCTATTCAGCTCAGCAGGCTCTGATCTGTTCTTTTTGCATGACAGCTGTTACTAATCATATTGATGAGACAAATGTATTTTACCTATTTCCTTCAGGAGTAGAAGAATAGGATCTTTCTGAATTACAGAATTACAGAACTTTTGTTATGTGTTCCTGTGTTTTGAGGTCTAGAAAGCAGAAAGCTTTCTACAGTATAAGAAAATTAACTATCACAAGAAAAATCAAATATTCCTGAGGTTAGATTTTGTGAAGAACATTTTCTTCGTACACAAAATGAATTACGATTTTCTTTTGGGGTTTCCAGGAAATAAATTTCTAACACTTACACTGTCAAAAAGGGCATAATAATCAATAGTGAAAATACATTTACACATCTACATTGTGCTAAAAATGCATAATATGCTCCGTTTATTATGTGTTAGGTGCAAAGCTGCAGTGGTTTATTGGACTATTTATATTTGTGACGTGTCCACAAACATTTTTACATAGATAATTCTTTGCAACATATTCCCTTAACTAGAGCTTTGAAATATTTATAAAGTCTGTATTGATAAATGAAAGCATCCAGTAGTCTGTGCCTGTTTTCAGGGCACAGATCTGCACTATCCAAACACTCTCTGGTATGATTCAATTTAATTAATAACCAGGAGTGTGGTTGTTTGTACTATTTGCTGTCTGGACTTAAGGGCCTTAAACTGTATTTTCGGCTTCTAACTATTCTGCTCTTCCATTGACATGATTTTTCTGGTACTACGGAGAGCAGAAAGAAGGGTCTGAAGCAGATGAGACGCAATCACTGCTCAGAAGACATGGAATGGTAGTACCTGACTGATTTTACACGAATAAAACATGCTGAAGACCTCCTTAGTTCCCTTTCATGTGCACACAGCATGATACATAATGTCAAAACCCTGGCTTGAGAGCTGGTCCACTACTTCCCAATGGTCAAACCTCTAGAATTGGCCTTAAAATTTAGACTGTCATTTGTGGATGTGAAGTCCAGATGGACGTAAAACTTTAGGGACTAGCTCTCTAGACAAAGCCCTTGTTCACAGCAGCTCTTACAAAACACCTTCAGTCTCCCTCAATTATAACACACACACTTGCAGTTTTCAAACACTATTTAAAAATTAAAAAAAAAATTACCAGTGGTTAAAGGTGATCACTGGTGGGGTGGATCTGGAAACTGAAATTCTACTCCACAAAACAGATACTCTGTGCATGTAGGAACAGATGCTCTGCGCTGATCTGCCAGCCTTGTCAGTCCCATGCTGGAGGCCAGGCAAGAGAGCACCATTTCTGTTTCCTGGACCACTCTGCCACCACCTCAGAGTGTACTGAGAACACGTGCCAGTCTGCTTATTAATGCAATATGAATATGAAGAGGAAAAGTATTTAATGGAAATTTAACTACAATAATTGTTTCATACAAACTGAGGCTGCAGTGTTTAAAAAGCCTCTCTGCAGCAACAGACATGGCAAGGGTACTGACTTTTAAACTTTGAACAAACAGGCTCTATACTGCTACTACTCATCTACTTGCATTCCCAACATCTATGCTTCAGGCAGCAAGCTTCCATTCAGGCTTCTGGAAGCCATGCATGAAACTACCATATTGGAGAAGGCCTGGGGGGACTATCAGGAAGGCACCTGTGGCTGCTGACAATGAGAAACAAGCTGCAGGTATGGGCAGGACTCTTCAAAGAGAAAGGCCAGTCGCCATATCTGCCTCGAAGGGCTTTAGAGACCACGCTTGGTTTAGCAAAACTCTGCTCTGCATTTCCAGCTGCATCAGTCTCTTGACTGTGAAAAGGTTCATCTTGTCATGAATAATCTCAAAGCAAATCCTTCTGTCTCCACTGGGAAGGGCAGAGGAGAAGGAAAAGTTCACTCAAAACTCCTACTCCATCTTTAAGTAGACAAAGGCAGTGCCACGATCACCTTGTGTGCTGAAGTCCGGGGTCACGTTCCTCTCCCCCAGGGCTGAGTCAGACACTTGCTGGGCGGTACCAGAGACCTAAATGAACATTTTTAGTGAAACAGCACGTTAATCTGGATTGTACCAAACAAAGTGTAGCACTGTTGATCTGCAGAATACACCTGACAACATCGAATAGCTTTCATATCAGCTGCTATTCAGATTGAAAATGATTTAAATTATTTTACAACATCTTTGGGTCAGGAACCAAATGCAGGGCAAAGGAATGTACTTAACACAATTTTCACTTTTCGAGAATCTACAAGGTAAATTAATCTTGAATTCACAGGCAGCTGCAGGCCCACATTACAAAACTTGATGTCTGCAATGCTTAAAACTAATGCATTTATTACAAGTAAATTCTGTTTCTACAGTCTGCATTTTTCCATATTATGTTTGGGTTATTTTCACATCATATCACCCTAAAATAGGACAGAGGAAAACAGAAACCACAAAACCAAGCACAAGAGCAGTATTTCTCTTTGGTTATATGCAGGGATGTAAACTCCTGGTGTTTTTTAAGCCCTATAACGTCGTGGCCACCCAAGGGGCTGGTGCAGAGTGCTCTCCAGAATGCTGATAATATTATAACTCACCTTTTTTCTGAAGGGACGGACATAAGTGGGTAACTGCCCTTCACTTTTGAGAATCATGTGAACAAAATACAGAATCAGTTCTCCTGGAAATACTGCACCCATAAACACTTGAAATTTAGGAAATTTTATTTCTATTGATTTGAATAGATTTTGGATTGGACCTTGTCACCAATCTCAATAGATTTTTGGCAGTTTTTTGGGAATGTGATTATAAAAAAATTATTCCAATAAATAGCTGGTAACAATAAAAAAGGTCGAAAGGAATGAGATTGATACCATCTTTAGCAGAAAGTATCCTATCTCCTTCTGTCTGTAGGGCCACAATCAACTAGTAAAACTACTTATGGTTGGTGACAGTCTAGAAATAAGCATCAGTCCCTTCTGTGTGCACCTTTGTGTCAAGCACTTAATTTGTATCTGGTCTTCTAAAAATTGGCTGTGACACGATTAGTCTGAAGTTATTATGGAAAGAGCTTCCATTTCACATGCCAGTGTAGATTACAGCACACATATATACACATAACTAACTGTGCTCAATATTTTATTTTTTCCTATCTATCTATGTATCTATGTATCTATCTACCTACCTACCTACCTACCTACCTACCTACCTATCTATAGCTTACTATGAGCAAGTGATTAGGGAAATTTTTGTGATACAAGTTCAGTTTTTAAAAGTGATTTTAAGTGTTAGTAAATACAACTCTAAATAAAGAACAGTGCCAGAAATACTTAAACTCAGCAATAGATGGATAGAGGACTGGGAAGAAAATGTGTAACCACTCATATTTTTAAACAATTCCCTTGGAAATTTCTTAAAGATCTTTTTTGTAGCAGAGTATCGCATCAGTGGTAAAAGTAAAATGTGGTGTCCCTTCAAGCTGCAGATCGTTCCTGGGAACTAACTGGAAAAGTAAGAAGTGTTCTCAAATTCTCTTTGTTGTTGGAGAAAATTCAGACTAACTACATTTTGGAAGAAACAGTATAATGTTTTAAGGGCGTTTGTTTCTTTTTAAAAATCTAGGGGTTCTAGGCACTTTCATAAATTCTTAACCCAGGTGCGTTCATAAACCTGATTGCTGACTGAAAAATATCTACTGAATATTTGTGCTGAAACATTTATTGACACTAGATTCTCTCAGGGTAACTGCTCAATGTATTTTATATGCATTTGGTTGATTGAACTTCTTGCCTGGGGGGGAAGGAGAACCACAGTTTTAATTGTAAGGAGGTAACACTGACAATTTTTAAGCCAGGTCCGAGTTGTGGTTCACATAGAAACGGCACATGGTTTCATACAGTTCCTACACAACCAGGGGTAATAAAACCTTATTGACTGCACATCCTAAGACACGAAGGTGGTAAAGACAGTCACTGAGCTTTCAACAGGAAAATGCAAGAAAACTGGTGCTTTTAACAAGCCTGCAGAGCCTACTGGTGAGCAAACGTTATAAAAACAGTCACTGAACTCTGATCTGTTTGTTCTCATCTTTTTCATATCCTAGCCGATACTTTGCATGGAAAACTGTGTGTGAAACCCACTTTTTTTCATAGTCATGGAATGGGAATTCTTAATCAGTACAGATGACAACAGCAGTTTTTACACTGATGCAGTCACATAAATTAGCACGGACATTTGTTGCTCATGAAATTAATGAACTACTGAGTCTAATTTGATATAATTTAATAAAATTCTAAGGACCTCAATCCATTTAAAACCAAATAAAACCTATTTGTAAAAGGTTTACAGTTATGACATTATTACATAATGGTTCCCAGAAGCACTTTTATAGCTAAATCTGCCATGATTTCCATGGTAAAGTCTGCCTTTGAGGGATTTATAAATCTCATTATTTCAGTTCATACTGTGCTGTGCTTGGTGCATGTTCTAGGAGAGCACTTCCATTATGTAAGAATTCAGGTCTCCATTTTGTTCCCCTTGTAGACCTAAAACTGTTTTAGACTTTGGCTCCATTCTCCATCTACAGCTTAACTGGGACACTAACTGCAAAACTACATTAGATCTTCTGCTGTCAAGAAAAGTCCATGGCTCCAGCATCACTGTGTGGGCTCTGGTTATCACTGCCAGGGAACCTCACTGCTGAGCAGCACCTGGGATCAGTTTGCTCCTACAAGCTCTCTGAACCAGCAACTACCAGACATACATAAAGTCCCTGCTGGTAAGAAACTGTACAATTGTATGTATGGCCAGTCTTCGCGAGCGAAGATTTGGGAAAGGTCATTACCCTTCGAGCCTGCGCAGTGGATTTTTTAGGTGAGACCCAGCGTGCACTGAACTGAGCCCACCCTTTAATCCTGAGGTTCATCTGCTGGGGCCGAGCAAGCTTGGACAGTGGCAGTGAGGTCCCCAGGACGTAGGTTTGTTTAGAGTGACCTTCTCTTAGATGGATGGCCTTACAGGGCTGACAAGCTCCATCTGCCCAGGGAAGTCCCCTGACCGGGAATCGAACCCGGGCCGCGGTGGTGAGAGTGCTGCATCCTAACCACTAGACCACCAGGGGGCCCCGAAACCGGACAATTATCACCATTCCAAAGGAAAAGTCACCACTCATTTTCATTGGTGAGGAGAAGAAACACTTCTGGAACTCAGGTGACCAGAGATGAACGGACAAGATGCTGAGACTGACCCCAGATGTCAAAAAAAAAAAACACGCAAAAAAACCACAAAACAAAAACAAACAAACAAACACAACAAACAGACAAACAAACAGACAGACAAAAACCTAACAGTGAATACATCTACTTATTAAAGCTCAAACTCTTCTTGCAAGGGCATGACAGTGCATCTTCAAATTACTGATGTTAAATTATATTTCTGTTATATGCTGGTGTTATTGTGCTGCTAGATGTTGATGCTCATGCAAAGAGTAGTCTCAATTACAAGAGTGCTTAAAATTATTTTGTGCTTAACTATTAATAGACACTTTCCTAATTCTTACTTAGTACCACATATGAATTCTCATCACAGATATGATCCTTCTCTTTCCCTCCAGACCATGCATGATTCATATCACTTTTGCCAGGTTTTTTTATCACCAAAAAATATCAATTTCTCCAAGACTTGCAGGTTTATCTAAGTTACTGCAGAAGAAAAAGGATGGAACTTGGATAAAAATATTTTAGAAAGGAGATGGCCTTGAAAACTCCGATTTTGTTGTTCAGCAAAAAACAACACTCACAGTGATCACACTCAGTTTATGCTGATTCATTTAATTATAGCCAAATAAATGAAAATTAGTGCAATGTTTATCGTGGCAGGTGGAGGGTATAACACAAAGTTAGGCATGTCTTGGAGGTATTTAATTGTGTTTTTGCTGTGGGCTTTGCATCTCAGTCTTCTTTTTTCTCAGACATTTGTACTAATTATTTTAATAATATTCTTGTTTATAATAGTAAAAATTCATGTAATTTTTTTCGGTTTGAGTTTCAATTGTGTTTCCCCCAGTGTGAAATAAATCACTAGCAAACTTTTCAGTGTTATATTCTGGGGAAAGAAAAGGTAGTCCCCTCTGAAATGTGGGTACAATTTGGCAACCTGAACATAAGTATTTCCACAGTGCACTACTATCCACTCATAAGTGCTATCTAGAGTGTTTGACTCCTGGAGCCTGCAAGAAATTACAGCTTCTAAAAGCAATTTTAAGTATTTTCCCCTTTGTGACAGCTGATTCAATTACCACAAATCACTTCAAGCAAAACTTAGCTTTGACTGTAATGCAGATACATTATAATTCCAGTTTTAGCTGAGTCCATACTGTACAGTACAAAATAAGGCAAAAAGTGTAATATCAATATTTGTCTGAAGTATACTGGATCCTTTCCCGAAGTTCAGGATAAAGGTGTTCTGCACTCTCAGGAGTAGCATTTCTGCCACATAACAACTGTTTATTAGAAGCTGTAAAGTCAAAAGGTTAATCAATAAACAGGGAACTACTCGCTGCTGTTTCATAGGAAGAATAAGTCCCTATCTCTTTATCATTCAAATCTTTGCAACTTTGCAACTACTAAAGCATAAATTTGGCACTGGGTTCAAGGCATCCTGTCAACGCTAGAGCACAGTATTTTGACAATCTATACCATTATAGGTATAGATCTATACCATTCTAGGATTTTTCCAGGACATGACCTGAAATCTGACAAAAGCAGGGAACTGAAAATATTAACTGTGTTAATCTGAGGCTATTTACAGAGATTTTTATTTTAGGAATTTTCAAGACCACATTCTAGCTACACACAGTGTAAAATGGCAATTCATAATTATCTTGGCTTGGATCACACGCAAGGCAAATCCAAGTGTTCATGAGCACTGTGCTATATATACACATACCCAAAACCCACAAGTTATTAGCATTGCATGTCACAAGACACACAGTTACCTTTTTCCTTACTAAACCTACACTGTTGTGTTGAGCTGCCACAAAATGCAGTATATTACAGTGAGGCAAATCCAATATTAGCAGTAGCTGGAATAAAAAATATTTTACAACTTTAAGGGTTTTTAAGAAAATAAACCTGCTTGCTCCCTAATCAATACTACTTATTACCTATAGGAATTGAGAAGTGTAATGTTATTTTAAAACACTATTATCCTCAAATAAGGAAAAACACCATGCTTCTGTGATTCAAATCCATTCTTCTAGGTTTTTGTTACTGACAGTCCAGTATCATTCAACTTTTTTAATGGATGAAATCATGCACAAGAACACAAGGAAAATACACATTAAGTGTTAGTTAAACCTTTTTAAAGAAAATGGTCTGAAAAATGTTTTTAAAGAATATAAGTATTTTCTAATGGTTGTTCCTCAAAATTTATCTAGAATTGTTTTGCATCATGGAAATCTGAAGACTATTTCTTTTGGCTTTCCTTACCTGACTGGCAGGCATCTCTCCCATCACTGCCTCATAAGGAGGGGGCAGTTCACTTGGATACAGCATTCCCGGGCTATTAATAGTTACTTCGTACAAAGCACCGAACGGGGAATGAGGAAAGTCCAAATGGAGACCTCTGTATAAAAACACAAACAAGCAAACTTAATAATTAAGAAATGGCATTGGATTTGTTTGGTAAACTATTACCTACACCACAGTGATGTAAAGCCTTCTCTGAATTCAAAGCCGATACACTACAGAGAATTAAACTGAAGAAATTTATTAGACAACCAAAATGAAGTCCTAGTTCATGGGGTAGCTTTAAAAACTCTATTTCATTTAGGATGCCAGCCATCTCCACCAGCCTGTTGTGTCATCGTTAAAGTCCTTCACTATTCCACATTAATACATTTAAACTACAATGACTTCCTTAAAGAATTAAATCTCATATTCAACTTCAAGTGTATAATGTTAATTGTGAAAGCGTCACCTATAAGATGATCTCTATTTTAAGTTCAGATATGGTTATTCTTGTCTTAGCTAAGTTCAATCATTTCTCTTTTACAGCAAAGCTTTAACACAAATATTTCCAGATGTAACCTGACAAGTTTGCAAAAAACCATATGTAATCTCTCTGGAAAAAAGCACTCAATATAAGTGAAGGACATGATTTGCCTTTATATTCTTTGAAAGGTCTTCTTAGTCTGCAGAACCACTGGTCTGCTTCTTAGTCTCAGAACTACACCCTGACTGTAAGAAAGAGAAGAAGAATCACCTCTGTGCCTCTACCACTGGTGTGCAGGTGTATTCTGGGGGGTAGTAGGGTGGAGGTGGGATTGGTGGTATGAACTCATCAAAATCCAAGGTTTGATGCAGGACAGTCCCGTGTGGAGTCATGCAGTCAGGATTGGTAGAATGCGGCCTCTGTGGCAGAAACTGAAAATGAACAGGTCAAGTTCCTTCAGACGGCAGAAACATCATCACTAATAATAAAAATGTCCATAAAATTTCAGTATTACCATCCCTGACCAATATCCAATTTCATTAATAACCACACTGAAATCAGAGGCACTTCTGGAACCATAAGAATACTCGGGATCAGTTGAGAAGGGTGAGTCAGATTGCCAAAATACAACACAAGGTTTGACTAAAGACAGAGAGGCCTTGGGCCTCCAAGTGAGTCACTCTTAGGATGCAGAACACAGACAATTGAAATTAAATAGCTTTTCAAGAAATAATTCTACATTGTATACAATTTTATGATAGTACCACATAATCAGCTGTATTTTCATAACTGATGAACAATAGAAAAAACTACTAAAATAACAGCATGGATGGTTTTTTTCCCCATCTGAAGTGCCCTGCGCTTACAGGGGAAAAAAACCCAAATGCCACCCTCCAAAACAAACCCAAATAAAACTAACTAGAAATAGGCTACCACATATTCATCGAATTTTGAATAAAACAACTAAAAATAGCCCACCTATTTTTCCCTTCCAACAAAAGGGTGATTTATAACTATTCTTTATTATTCTTGTAAAAAAATATATACTTAATAGCTGTCTGTGTTTGGTGATACACTGCACACTTAAATGTCGTATAAAGGTTTTAAATCCTGGTATGAAAGTAAGAAAAACAATTATTCCATATAAACATCTCAAAACCAAAAAGAAAACAACTACAATGAACAATAAAAATTAATAATAATGAGAATTACTGTCAATATTTGTGACAGCAACCTCATCAGCTTCTAGCAGAGCAGGGATTTAAGGAAGCCATTCCAATACCTTTGATCTCGGAAACACTGTAAACAAGTGTCCTAGGAAAGGCTTAAGCTAATTCAAGATCAAATATGGACCATGCTGCAGATCACATGGAATGCAGCCACCTTGACCTGGCTCTTTATGGTCCCCACAGATAAAAGGGGATCAAAAGACAATCCAACACCATAAAAGAATTTTTTTTTCTCTAGGCAAGCTTCTGCTGTCATATCACTTTTCTTGGATCAGTAGCTGACTTGATCTTTATCTCCTGCCTTTTAAAACAAGTCAGCTAAGAAACTTCGCTGAAGGCACATTCCTTTTTTATACTGGAACAAGACAACATGTCTTTGTAGGTTCACTCATTACATTATTATTTGTTTAAACCTGTGATAAAAATTTAGGAAGCAGTGAAACAAAAGGGAAAATGCTTATAACTTAGGAGATCCAGCAAATAGAAGGTAAATTACCTTCAATTTTAATATCACTGTTTTTTTAAAATTTAACTTTGTGTAGTTCTGCTGAATTTACATTACGAAGGAAATAATACTGGTCTTTGATGTTTAAAAGGTTGAGTTACATCTTAATTCTATTAAACTCCATGTATGTTGTTTCAAAGGTCAAAGCTGTAGTAACACAACACAACAGAGTCAGGAGGACCAACTTTAACCATTTGTGAAAATGAACTATTAGCTGCTTACTAATCAGCTCTCCAGAGACATTTTCACATGTAACTATTAATAGAGAACCTCTTCTGCAGAGTATATTATATCATTATATCATTACATCTTACAGCAAACCAAGGACTCTCAGCCATTGTGTTCTACTGATGGCACAGTATAGAAAAAAAGACATGAGACATCTACTTGATTTACTCTTTGTTACATGAAATGTCTGATGCTCTTTCATCTTTCATATGAGGTGGGATGCCGTTATCCCAGGTACAATCAGACATTTCTCTATTTGTCTTACAGAAAAAAACATTCTTGCAGTCATTTGATCTAAACTCACCTAATCTTTAAATGGCCATTTCCCAAACTGTAATATTACATTAACATTAATCATTAAACTCCAAACTTCTGCCCTAAGTTCTGCAATCATCATTCTGCCACTGTCCCAAATACATGGAAGAATCTTTTAGGAAAAAAAGGAAGCAAGACAAACTTCAATTTAATTACTGAAAACCTGCATAAAAATTTATCATAATGAAGACAAATATCTGTATACTCTGGGTCACAATTTGTACCCTACTTGATTCCATCAGACTCAGGACTGCACTCATTTTCCTAGAAGAGTTGGTAATCTGGGGTCATTTTTGCTGTCTGGAAACCAAACAATTTTCTTTCCTGACTCTCTCCCAGACTGTTTTCATATACTGCCATGGAACCCAAGCTTTGGTTGGCACCAGAGAACATGGAGCTCCATCCCTTCAATTCTGGAGTTCCCTGGAGCTGGTTTCATTCAGTCACGTATTGGGAGTGATGCTCTTAACACAGGTCAGAACACGGCAATTAAACACACGGCACTTTGACAGCAAGGGAACCATCAGCACACATTTTAGGGAATGTGACAGAAGGGAGAGGTTTTACACAGGGCAGAAAGGGGCTGTGGTTCAAGAAGGAAAAGCCCTAATGTTTAGGTGCAGTTCAGTTGAACAGCAGGACCATTTGCATCCCTTTCAAGAACTGCCACTGGGAATACAAACCATGGCAGCGAACTGTGACCAACACTGACAGTGAGAAGCAGAATGGACATGAAAAGGCACATGTTTGGGGGGGGGGTTATAAACAACAGTTTACCTGTGTGGTATCATCCTGCTGGAAGGCACAGAAATTAAAGTGAAAAAGGCTGTAAGAGGGAAACTAGCAGGAAATGAAACAATAGCAAATATAAGGGATTACCACAAAGAACAGACACCCTTGAGAAAACAATTGGAAAGCTACTAAGTGGGAGTTAAATCATATCTTATTCCATACTACCCTACCTACTAATCTCTACGAGCCTGCAAAAGCTTATTCTTTCTGCAATAAAATGTATTTCAAAAATCTGTAAGGGTTAGTCTTAAATAGTGAAGGCTGTCAGGGGCTCAGCACAGAGTTAATGCAAATTCCACAGGTCAGAAAAAGACACAGGAAGAAAAAGACACAGGAAGAAAATGCAAAAGGCTGAGAAAACTAGACTAGGTGAAGAAACACTGACAAATACTTTCACAAGGAAACACACATCACTGGTATTATAAGACATCTGTAACTAAATAAACAGTCTCAAGATGCTGATGGCAAGTAGGACAGACAATAATAAGAACTGCCAGACAGAAAATGGGGTTGGCCTGTTCAGTCACCAGTACCAACAAGATCAAGTTGCACTCAATGTCATTTCAAAAACTGCAGCTCACACTATGACACAACTCACACACTATGAAACGATTCTCACAAGCAGGTCTCCTAGATAGGCTTTTGGGATTAAATTAATAGCCACTGCAGAAGCAACAGATAGAAAATGGTTGCAGACAAGGATAAACAGCAAACACCACCACTGGTAAACACTAAATACCCAACAGTGTTAAAAAGCTTTGCAAAACTTTGTAGTTATCAATTAATATTGCAAACATATTTACTAGGCATAAATAGAAAGCCCCCAGCTCTGGAAATGTGAGAGACTCCACCATTTCTGTTGACCTCCTGGAGCTGTTGGATGCTGAGAGCTTTCAGAAATCTCACAGGCAATGAAATACAGATCTAGAATTCATGCTCTTCTTTTAGGAAATTACTAATCTTGTGTCGGAAGCTTGGTATTCAAACTATTACACTCATGCAGGTGTCCTCTCATCCTTGGTCAAAAGAAGGCCTTACTTTAGTCTGTGAAACACGTCTGATACCCAAGAGGCCGTTACACAGATCGGAGCACGTGCTAAATGATGTGTAATGTAGTGCACACATTGCATACGGAATTCTCTGTGTTTTAATGGGGCACCTCTAACTTGGAAGGAGTGGAACAGCTTTATTTAAACAGCTCTGATAATCAGGACCACTTATTTGGTTATTTGGTTTGCAGTTATGAGGGAAGGATAAAACATCTGGTTGCAGCAGAGCAAACAAGAAAGTTGTAAAACACTGTGGTTTTGTACCCAATTCTTATTCAAAACAGAAGTTAGTCCTCAGCAGCAAGTTGTTAGCAAGCAGAGAATCAGAAACACAAATGTTAGAAGTACCCCACTTCCAGAAGAGGCAAAAGTTTTTTGAAAAGGTAGGTCTGCTCCCAGGTCCGTGTACTATAGCACTGAGAACTGGACACAGAGAACGCCGCGGGCTGGACACCAGTGACCCCTCTGCCCCTTCCAGCCTGCAGCAAGGCACTGCAGCTGCCCCTTCCCGGCGAGGAAGGCAGTGCTGGGCACAATTACACAGCTCTGTGCCCAGCATTTAACTCTTCAATGTGAAATGAACACCATTAGATAGAGATGAATAAGATTGGAAAACTCATTCTCTTTTTGCCAGACTGAATATCGAGCTCTTCACTGACAGGTCATCTAAAAGTCAGTCACTGAAGTGACCAGAATGATTGGAGCTTATTATTTCTGTTCTGAATATTTTGAGTACATTGAAGTAAGAGCTGATGGAGAAGCCCCAGTTAAGGAGCTGAAGAAACAGCAGGTAAGACCTGTAAATACAATTCTCTAATGAAACAGTTACTCATGTGGTACCATGTGTACATCCTTCTGCCCAAGGTCTGTGAGATTAGGAACTCTTCATCAGTATTCCCAGACATGGGGACACCCCCCCGAACATCAACAGACATTCTCTAGTCTATGTATCCTGCAGCTGATCAGCACTACTGGCCCATGGAAATGACACTGCTGGGATTCACTGCTCAGCAATTATGACCTATCTAAACCAGCAAGTGCCACACGTCAGTACACGACTAGTGCTCTGAGGGAATCTTCTTATCTGGAGTCTTTCCCATATCTGCATATAATTACCTCTGCCTTCTACGTCACATTTAATAAATGTACTGTATAACTTCGAAATGCATCCTTTGGAGACCCTAAATTCATTATTTTCATTTCAGCCTCTATATATCATTTATAAAAATCTGCTAATTCTTGAGAATAGGAAATAAAAATTTCTAATTGCATATAATTAAATACTGGCATGTTATCTTGAGTAGAAGCTCTTTGCAATACACTCGGGTCTATAATTCTGTCTTCAATTAACTGTCCTCCTCCTGGACAGGTTGTTGTTTTCCTTTTCTGAAATACTGGAATCAGTATCTCCCAAAGGGAAATGTAGCTTCTAACTGTCTGCAAGAATAGAAGGACCATTGTTGACTCTTCTAATTTGTCCCTGATCTTAAAGGGAAATTGCAACACTGCAGGTATTTTGATAAGGCAAACAGATTGAAATTTTTGTGCTCCATTGTTTCCAGTTGCTGTTCCTACAATCATCACAAACCACTAGCTCTGTAGTCTCAGGGGGACTGGTCTGTGACAACGTAATCGTTCTCAAAGTAGTGACCATATTTTAAATAGTCTTAAATATTAAATATACTTATTCTACAAAAAAATGTTTAATAAAAAATGGCACATTTGTTAAAGATGTCAAAGTTTTCCTGAACCAAAGGTTTACCATTTTATTTGTCGTGGATGTCAAGGGAATATTTACCCAACCATATTTACATTTAGGATTTTTCTATGGATGTATATAATTCGCAAAGCACATTTCTAAAGACACTGTCCTCTGGGCTTTACAGTACCTGTAAGTGAACTTTGTGCCAAAACCCCCTAATATTTAGGTTTTGATGTAATTACTTTAAATAATAATATGTAATAATGTACAATCAATTCTCACTTAATGTGAAGCTTCACACTGAAGGGTTTATTACTATTTCACCAGCATGTGGGGGTTAAACAATACCAGCAAGATGTTATCCTCATGCAGAGGTGCTTTATGTGAGGTGTTTGAGTAGAAATATTAATTAGAGCCTATTAAGTTAATCACATGCTGAATTATCATTATGACTGATGAAAACAGTAATTAAATGTTACAGCTTGCATGTGTCATCATTACCTTATTTCCTTTACAAAATAACAGATGGTTTTAGGTATCAAATAACACGAACAGCTACTAACAATGATGGTGATAAAATCAGAAAACACTCAATTATATCAGTGCCAGTACTTCTAGGATAAGTACTGTATGAACATATGTGGAGTGGAAGGAGGAGTGGAATAGGTGTACTACTTCATGATTTAGCTTGGCCACAGTGGGCATCATTTCTTGTATTTATTTGTTTAGTTCAGGCAGCTACCTTTTGAAGAAAGCAGGGTGCATTTTTGCAGTAGCCATTCATCAGACAAAATGCAAACTGAAACTGCCTTAGGCAACAAATGAAATATCATGGAAGTGACAGTCTGGTTATTAAGAGAGGTTTCTTCACATTACAGAACTTTGATATAATCTCATTTGATTCACATTTATTTCCTGGAGGAGTGCGTACATAGAATAAACAATTCTGGGAAGCTCTGTAATGCAGTGCAGCCTTAAACTGTCTCGTGAAACACATAACAAATGCTATTTCAATATTTAACTATGGTATTGCTTACTCTTGCACCTTTAGTACAGTTGGTATGGGTTTTTTGGCCTGAGCAACACAGTGAGAAAGGTTAAAGTGAAGTGAAAAATTTAGGATACTTTCTGAAACAGTCAAGGCAAATGAGGAAAAATCTAGAATAAAATATAAAATAAAATATAAAGCAAAGAAATAGTTTGCAATATTTTGCAGTATTTTTTTCCTTAACACTTGAAACCAAAGGTTTGTTAGGTAGAATTGTTTTTAAACCAAAACCCCCTTTTTGAATTCATTGGAAAATTTAATCTGTGCTTACTACTGGAGAGCTTGTGTTTACATTTTTAGGACATTTTTACTACAGATCAGTATGTCAGAAGACAGTAGTTTCCAATAAAACACTGTCAGCTTGCCTGTATGAATCAGACCCTCACTGTATGCAAAACTCAGCAACAAAGCATGTACTCACAGAATCACTGCTGTAGATTTCCTTGAGACTGTATTATACACCTAATTTATGCTGCTAAGCAATAAATTGAAATTGCTTGACATTTGCAAAAATTCACCATCCTAACTGATTAAATTCTGAGCCAAGAACACTAATACAGCACGTGACCCACAGAACTGACGCTCTAACGATAACCCAGCGATGGCCAAGGAGGGTGTTCCCCATTGTCTTCTTGCTTTTGCTACAGGAGAGCCTTCATAGCTCTTGAATACTGTAGAACAAGAGTAAAAGCATCAGCAGAATAATTAAAACTTTTTCATCTAAGGGGATGGTATCTCTTGCTGCTGCTTGTCTTAAATTTCCAGCATGGTACAACCAGGCTAAGAGAAGATGCACACATCAGGGAAAAGCGACAGGGAAAAGCACAAATCGAGCATTAACAAGCAAGAAAAAAGGAAGTCGATCAGATTTCTGGGTGCAGTAGAGCAAAAGGGAAATGCAGGTCATGGGACAACAGGCTGAAAATAGTGAAAGAAAAAGAAATCTTCAGGTCAAATCTCAGCTGGTCTAAGTCAGCGTAGCCCCAGGGAAGTTACGCTCACTTAGGCCCGGTAGGAATCTGGCTCAGCAACCTGAAAAAAGAAAGGGAAAAACTGAGAAACAAGAAAAGACTGGGATTGAGCAGAAAGATATATACATATTTCCCTTCTTCTGTGGAGAGGGAAGAAAATTCTTGTCGATGGAGCTGAAAGGGTGGGAGCATGGACAACTAAGCAGGAAGAAAAAAAGCTGGAAGGACAAAGCATGGGAAGCAAAAGCAAATGAACATAATGCCAGGTGGTAAAGAAAGAGTTTAAAAGACGTCAAGAATGAGGTGGCAGAGAGAAAAATAATGTGCTTTTAAGGAATTCGACTTCCTATTGAGATTATTGCTTCTTGCATACGTCCCTCAGAAGCATTTAACATTGTTTTTGGTTCATTGTTATCTATACATTTTTATTCCTCTTACACTGCTAAATACCATTAAATTAAATGTAGGTTAAGATTCCTGGGATATATATGGCTACGGTTCTGGATCACTGCTATCATTTTACACCGGACATATTTTTGAAGTTGTGAAGATCTCTTCATCTCCTCATCATCACTGCAAAGTGAAAAAGTCCTTTAGTCAATGGGCATTCTTGCAGCAAATATCATGGAGGGGGAGATTGTATGAAAAGAAAAAATACCCAGAATATGAAAAAAATCCTTTAACATTTAAAGTACAATGTGTCATCAGCTGAAATGATTTTGTCAATCGTTTGATATCCAAAGTTATTAAATAAGCACCATTTACAAGTCTCTACCAACATGCACAATATGCACACACGGAGTGCTATAAGAAAAAATGCATTTATGCACTATTTGTAGTCATTATATAGACACATGTGCTTAACTTGATATATCCATTACTATACGAAGCAAACACCAGATCACACACCAAAGATATTCTTTAACTGAGTTTGTAACCCAGGGACTGGAACACTTGTCCAGAAAGCACAGTCTTATCTCTGTGACTCATGCACTTAAATCAATACCCATGGCACCAACTGTATTTATATTTGTTTATTTATTTATTTTTTTTTTAAAGCAATCACATGCCTTCATGGCAGGTCATACAACCTTTCTGTGTTGTTTAAGTGGTTTGAAGACAATTTGCTGGGCCAGTCTTCCATCTATGCAAACTTTTAAAATACTTGATGCACAAATGACTGCTATCAGGTTTGTGTGCTTGCCCTCACTTGCTAAACAGGATGTTTTCCTAGATTAGCCAGCAATAGAGAGAGGTTAGAAGCAGTATAGCTGGACTGCAAAATACAAAGGTTTCTAAATTTTTCTTCTTTTTTTGCGTCTCAACATCACATCGAAACCTTGCAAACTACAGTACTCATTTGGGATAGGAAAGCTGTCTTTGTCCAACCAAAACAAGAGACTATCCTGGGATGCAGCTGACTATGCAGAAGATTAATGATTCTTTTCCCTCTTGTTTAGAACACAAGTGCTACTCTGAAGCTGAATACGTTTTCCTTATGAAAATACTGTTATTGGCACAGGGCTGTGAAAAGTTCCAGGTTTGAACTTATACATCTCATTCTCTAGAATTCTCACATCAAGGTAGTAATGAAAACTAATATCTCAGAGCTAAGTAATGGTACTGGATAGTGAGGAAACTGGAGATAATATACAAGTAATGAGAGAAAATTTAATGTGCATATATAACTGAACCTCATTAATAACCTCATTAACAAAAATAACATCTTCCCAATTGCAAAATCCTGATTAAAACCCTCTAATATAATATATAAACGTTTAAAACACAGCAACTATTCATACTGCATACATCTATATGCCATATTATACAGATATATGCAGATAAAAAAATACACCCACGTGCACGCACGTTCTAACAGCACAAGATGACACACAAATAGGCTTAAGTTTACAAGCAAAGAGGAGGTGCAAATGAATAGAGACAGATAAGGACAATATGTTATGTTGGACAATATCCTGTGCTGTCACTGAAACATACTCACCATTTGCAGAAGATCAGAAGAAACCATCTGCATGCAACACATTGCTGTTGCCAAAGCACAGACAATGGTGGAGATGATATTGAGAGCGCACACACTGAACAACAGGTCCTGCAAGAGACAGGCAACAGAATATCATCTCTCCACTCAGGGACACGAAGGACACAAAGTTTTTAGGAATGTGATAATAATCACTGTCGACTGCTATCAATTAATGTGGTCTCAAATAACTGTAGAACTCATTTAGCTTGTAATATTTTTTAAAGCAATCTGCAAAGAGAACAGTTACAGAAAAAACTATCTTCCCTCCCCTTCTTTGCTATTAGATATTTCCTCAGAAATATTGATATTCAATTTTCCAGTTCCCAGAAAGAAAGGACAAATTACTGCTTTCACAGTGGACTCCAAGCTACAGCCATCACAAGAAAGATACTATGAAGGAGACATCTGATTAAAAATGACACAGAAATGTCATTGCTTTCAGTAGTTGAAATCTACAACTTGGACTTGTGGGTTAAAAAAAATTCAACTTTAGTATGAAATAGAGACTGTTATCCTGTGTCAGATACTTCAGGCACCTGAAACATTTTTAGATTTACAGAAAAGTGGTGATTACACCTGGGCATTCTACCTTCTGCTGATGAATCGAGGGCATATGGCCCATGTTTTTTAAAAAAATCCAAGACATTTAAAATAGGACATATAGCATTTGTTTACTAAGTAGAATAAAATAAAAGAAACATCTCAATTAAAATGGAAACATTTTTTTAGCAATGGCATAATTAAAAACAAACCATTCATCTCTCTTCCAATCACTGGATTTGTATTTACTTTCCCAACAGCCAGTGAAAAGAAACACTGATTTAGCATGCTGACTACATTCCAAAGCTGCTACAATCCTTGTACAGCAACTGCATAGCTGTTGTACTTGTGGCAATTATGTGGCTCAGTTAGTATTCTGAACAGCCAGTAAAAGCATTTGAGAAAAAGCAGCAGAGGGAACAGATGAAAAACAAAATCAAAATTGTTACAATACCATAAGCAAAAACACTCACCATGTAAAGAACATTCCGTAGGATCTAAGTTTAAAAGAGTATTTCAGTCACTGCCAGTGCATAAAATAACTTCCATGCTATAAAAATCAATGCACTGCTCGCTTTTTCCCAACAATACTGAAAAAAATGATAGAAAGCTGCAGATTTACTCCTGCTACTGTAATTGCATGCTCCTCGAGTGACCTTCATTTGAAGATGAAAATGCCAGCCATGGGAACCAGGCAGGCAATAAATGGGCCAACAAGTTTCGGTCATTTAATAGCTTACACTGAGCCAGATCTGCTCTTGCTGATCTGGTCAGTCTTGTCTTGTTGGCCAGCCCCTCAGCCAGGGAATAATGAATCATCAGCATCAACAGCAAACACTGGAAGGGCCAATCTCTAACTCACATATAGAAGGTGATACAGAGGACTCATTCAATACAGACCCACTTACAGCATTCAAATGGAGGTAAAAGGCAAAGTGATCCCTAGAGATTCAGTTAGTTAACCATGGCACAAAGAGACCCTACACGTTCATATGTTCATATGCAGACCTACAGAAAGAACACCAAGGCAGAGACAAGATCTAGGGTAGAAATAGGACTATTTCCTGGCAGTAAGAAACTTCATTCATTGCTTAATACAGTCATTTAGATCCAAAAGATTTAGCTAATCTGAGTGCATAACTTAATACCATTTATGCCAAATAATAAAATCTACATCAAAGCTCCAATTTAGGATCTGAAGTGTCTCCAAGACCCTCATAAAACTTTACATGCTTTGGGACAGACTCAACTGTGCCTCTAACACTCATGACAGATGTTTCTTTGATCTGTTCCTAAAGATCCCACAGCTTCATCCCACTATTCCTATGATTATCTTTACCATCCGTGTCCTCCTTATGTCCATCTCACAGCTGAAAATCATTGTTCCTTTTCTTCTCTAGCTTTTGAGAGCAGGCTATTACACAGCAGACTTTTATACCTCTAAACTCTATTATAGTTCTTTAAGTCTTTTCCACTTTTACTTCATTACCTATTAACCTCATTTCCTCCAATCCTCAAGTGAAATCACCTTCCTAGGGCTCTGATTGTTTTCATTAATTTCATTTGGTTCACCTCATCTTAGTCCACATTCTTCCTCAAATGCAGAATCCTAAACTGGGCACAACTGAAGGCCTTGCAAACGCTGACTGTAGCATAAGGATTATTTCGAGTGCCTTAAAAGCTACACTCACCCTTACACATCCTGCAGTGGTGAACGAGGTTTTCTGCAACAGCACATCAGTGATTCATCTTTTGTCCAACATAACCCCAGATCCTTTCCTACGGAAATACTACCCTCTTCATCCTGCTACTAGGTAAGAACAGAAGCAACATCATAAAAAACCAACTGTTTTTATCAGAGAAAAGCTAAAAGCAAGGCTCATTTTCAATTACACTTATCTTTCATTTATAAAAAATAAGGAATAAACCTAATCCATTTCATTCTATGTGGATAGAAAAAGGACAAAATGTCCCCCCATAATTACTTCCTCACGTACTGCAAAGCACAGAGTAAAACCAAGTAATGTTTTCATTTTCAGTTATTTTTCATTACCAGTAATCCCAGAAAACCTCTCCTGACAGTGTCAAACAGACTGCTTTAATTTTTATTCCCTGCTAACTGTCGTGAAACAAGACACAAAGTAAGACTCTGCAAGCACCCTGAGGTGCAATAGTGTCCCAGGCTGGACACTCATAATGATCACAACTCCTTTGTGGTTTGGGACTTTTCCCTCGGGTCACTGCTCCCTGTTTGCTGTTCAGCATCATTGTTCGATGCAGGGCAGGGATCACTGTCCACAGGAACAGCCTCTCTCGACACACTCCCTTTTCACACGAAGCATACAAGTTATTGTTCCCAATGCAACCTTTTGGAAGATGAAGATACAACTAGGATGTTTCAAATGCATTGATGCAGAATTTTATGTATCTCAAAGATTCATAGGGAGCAGACATCTATCAGCCAAAAATGTAACAACTGAGCAATGACTGTGGTACCCTTACCATCACTAGGTATTTCTTAAAGCAATAGTACTTCTTTATTTGTTTTGGCTTCTTTTCCTAACATCTGTTTCAACTCAAACAAGAATCAACACACAACCAATCCCTTCTCCTCTGTTCCCCACTCCCTCCCACACCCTGCAAACATTATTCAACCTCAGGCATTTTACCATTTTCAAGGAATTTACTTCCTGTGCCCTGGAGAAAAAATAATTAGGTAATTCATGACACCCACTTATTCAACTATAGATAAAAAATGAGCAGGAACAGGCTTTTAAGATCTAAAGCCCTCCATGGCCAAACACTACCAGAGGGGCAGTGGAGGTGCTTCCACAGATTGCAGCTGAAACACAGTGACAAATGGACACCATGTCCTTTAGGAAATCTCTCCGAAAAAGCAGTAACCACAACAGGGACAATCTTAATTTTCCACAGCACCTGGCCACAGACAGTTACATTTATAGGTGTCTAAAGGAGCAGGAAATCTATACTAAACACAAAATCAAGGAGATTTAGTGACAGATTTTTGATTGACATCTGCAACAACACTAATCAGAAAATACAACACATGAATCTGTAATGGTATGAAATATGATTCTTTGCTCCTGAGAACTGGCTGAACCAATCTTCTCTTACATGGAATTTTCTGGGTACTTTTGTATTTTTAAAACAAAAATCGGATTCTTCAGCATGTTTATATGATAACTAATGCTCTGATAGGTATAAGGTACTAGGCAGAATTATTCTTCTACAGGTTACGTATACAATCTTCTTGATACACCTCAACTCTAACTGCAGAGGACACAAATCCCCTCCAGAGTGGAAGCAGCTGTCAGAATTGTCTGGAAGCATGCCTAGATCCATCCAGACACATACCCACTGGAGGCAGACAGCACTGGGAGCTGTTTCTCTGTGGCCAGTTATTTTCCCAAGTAGGTCTCTCAGTAAACCTCAAAAGCTGAATTAAAATTTAATACTGATATGTGAAAAATCAAGATTTCATGGTTGTAGTATTCCATTCCTATTACAGTTAAACAGTTACTAATTAACTGTGTCATTATGTTTTCCCTCCATAGTAACAGACACCTTTGACTTATGCTGTGGTTCCAGAGGATACTTGTGATTCTCAAATCTTCTTCACACTATCATTCATTCATATGTCCACCCATAACTTCAGGAGAGAACATCTAGTTTTTCTTTTTCTTTTCCTGATTTAAGCTGTTTTCAGTATTATTTTTTGGACACTATTTCTTTGCTACTGCACCTTAAAGTTCTTCCTTATTAGCAGAATTAAAATAATATATAAATATATAAAAAAATCTATGTTCTCTAAATGTGCAGCCCAAAAGCCTACAGAATACAATATAATAGGAGCTGTAATACAAAACCTGAGTATATTTGAAAATCTCAATGTTTAATTGAAATACTTTTTTTACTATTTCATATTAAAAAAATGTAATTTTAGGATATAATTAGGTAAGAACATCATATGAAAAAAACCATATTGTAATATAGTTAAAAAGCAATTTCTCCTTAACACTGATTTTCTTTGTTTTCCATCAAACTGCTGGCTGATAAGGCAGTCAGATGGTATTAAACTGGAATAAGTTAAAAAATTGCTGATTGATTTGTCACTTTGATAACTCAACTGCAGAAACAATCATTTAACAAAGCAATTTAAAACAGCTGTTAGCACATGCAATTACCTGATAGAAGCAAAAAAAATCTCTGGAATGAGATAGAATCTAAAATGAAAAATGACAATGGCATGAGTCCTCCATTCATGATGGGAGCAGTGGCAGAGCTGGGTCCTTTATAACCAAAGAACACCCACTGTAAGTGTGTTCACCCCTCTGAAATTTTGCCCTTCAAGACCTAATTTGAGCTTCCTGTCACAAAAAATATAAATCAAAACTGGAATACAATCAATTGGCTCTAATGGTGGGCCATACCCACAGAGTTCCTTCATCTTAGAAAACAAACTTAGAACTGAATTCTCTCTAAAATCAGGTGCCTTTCAGAAGCATCAA